CGAATAATTAATGGAATAAATATTCGTTGTTGTTCAAAACTAGCATTGCCGACATCTGGGACCTTTCTCCAGGCGTACACGCATAGTTTAGTAGGGCGTCAATGTAATAAAGATGGGCAAGGGACCACCAAAAAAAACACCCTAGAATCATTGCTCATTTTACAGATTTAAACGTCCCTATCAACGCTCTGAGGTTATTTAGCGGGCGGTTGGAAGGTGCCTCTGGTAAGTCCTACTTCATTACTTTCCCTCCGTTGTTTCTGTCTGTTTGTCTTACCTTTTTCCCGCCCGGCGCAAAGTCTTCTTTCATCTCTGGTCTGTTTTCTCACATAATACTCGCAGAACACAATTAATGACATGCAAACACTAGACATCAAACAAAACCAATACTATAATAACATAGTATCGATCGAATCAGTTTTGAGAATTTCGATTTAAAAAATCAATTTAATTTCAACCATAGGAATCAGTCGAAAAGAACACAATTTCTTCAGTCAAAGACAAACACAATCTGACTCCAAATCAATTTAATTTCAAACGGTAAGGGTGACGACAGAAACTTGGCAGCCAGAATAAGGAGGGGGGCTGAGGTTATTTTCATATTATATAAAGAAACAAATATAGACAAAATGTGTGTTTATTTGAGTGTTGATATGATGCTCACAGTTTACTTTTGTACGGTATGTTCTGTACAGTAAAGTTGAGTAACAATGACAATGACAATGACACGATGGACAAGTAAATTCTAAAGGCTAAGTAAAATGCAAATACGAAAAAAAAGATGGTTACAAAAATAGATTAATTTTTCTTAAATTAAAAATAGATGTATTATAATATAACGCTTTACTTAGTACCGGGGAGGGAATCTGATACATGTACCTATTTTGGAAGTTCAATGTGAGGATTCTTCAGACAACAATCTTTAATTAGAAGCTCAACCTAACGATTTTTTTAAAAATGTGGCAGGACGTGGTGAAAACAGGCGCTCGTCAGTTTTAGGGCATGTGGAGTTATTGGTATTATCTTAAAGGCTGTTCAGTTGTCTTTCTAATGGTGAACAAAATCCCAATCTATCTTTCAAAGAAGTTAAGATATTTGAGATTGAAGAAGGTGGGGTCGACTAGTTTCAAAAGTAGAATAAGCGAGAAAATGACAGTCAAAGTTTGGTTATTTTCATAGCTTGATAGTCCATGAACACTGAAAACTTACATTTTTGTGCCTTTAATCAACGTTTTTCATACTAATGTGTTCTTAATTGGATAACTATGGTGTTAAGCAAAAAAAAAATTCTACAAAAATTGGCAAACTGATAGAAAATTGCCAGTTTCTTCAATTTCATTATTGTGACAAGCGCCTGATTTCACCACGCTGCCTCACAAATTACCCCGTGGAAGCTCAATAGAATATTTCTTCAGAAAGTCTTTTAGAAGATCAGTGGCGTGATTCTTTGAGACATATCATCCTAGATACTAGACTAGATCTACATGTAAATCGAATAATTTTTGTAATTATATTTTGGAAGCTCAGTTGTGATTTTTTTATTCCGAAAAATTTTTAAGATACTCAAATAATTCTTTAGATTATGTTCTACAAGCTGACTCGAATGATTCTTCCAAAATTCTCTGATACGTATGATCTTGAAAATAGCTTTTGGATGCATAAATGAATAATTCTTCCGAAAATCTTTAAGGAGCTGATTCGTATGGTCTGGAAAATAACTTTTGGAGGCATAAATGAATTATTCTTCTTAAAATCTTTATGTAGCCCAATCGTTGATTCTTCAGAAAATATTTCAAATGTAATTTGAATGATTTTCATTTCTTCAGAAAATGTTAAGGTTGCTCAGTCGAATATTGTATTTTTAATCTGTTGGAAGTTCTGAGGAAAAGTACGTTGTAAACAACACAAGATGATTCGAAGCTTACAAAAACGTCCCATTCATTCAGAAATAAAGCAAAGCATCAAAATGTCTCTGTGACGGACAGTGGCGGCAGCACTGCTGTGTAGATTTTTTTTCAATGTGTTTCTTTGCTTGTTTTTGTTTTTGTTTTTGTTTTGTTTCTTTCGTTGTTGTTTTCCTTTTCTTCTTTTTTTTTCTTTTTTGTTGTTTGTTTG